TGTCATCTTACTGCCTCTCTCAGCCTAATTGTTTTCTTAACCAAGTTCATGGATTCCCTAAATCATGCAATCCCTGAAGCCAAGTGGAAAATTTCTGTTGGAAGCACAGCTGAGTCCCTCAGCTACCACTTTGCTTGGACAAATGCTATACCTTAACCTCTTGATTTTTGTCTTTTCCTAGTTCTTGGTGCAAAGCTTCCTTACCAGCTCATTAGTCCTTTGATGTTTAAAAAATATTTTCATCAAATTATAAAAAAAAATTTAAGCAAATATCGCAAAAAAACAAAACAAAACAAAACAAAAAAACTCCTCTCTTCGGTATGCCAGTTGATCCCAATTACCTGGTTGGTTCACCAGTAGAAGAAGCAGAAGTCCCTGCTTGTTGCCATGTTCTCTCCACCTTTGTGTACTACAAAGCTCTAATTGCTTCTCATGGGATTACCAGCCCAGCCCCTGGCTGCTAAGCGTCTGGTCTGGCCTCCATTCTCCAAAGTTGCCAGCAGCATTTTTCTAAATATAAATTAGATTTCTAAAAATGTAAATCTGATATTATTATCAGATCTTAACTTAAAGTGTTTCAGAGTCTCCCAAATGTTTTAGTGAGAATTCCAAACTCTAGCATGGTACATGAGACTCCTGTAAGACTCAGGTCTCCTAACCTAGGTCTCCCATGACACACACAATAACAGGGGAAACCACCTCTCCTCCCATACCCCAGTCTCCTCTATGCTCTTGCCAGGCTCAACAACTTAAGGTGTTCCCAGACTGCTGTCTCTGCCCTGTGACTTCTGTGCCTTTGAACATGGCAGCTTTTGTCCCACGTAACCGTCCCCTTTTCCCTTCTAGTCCTGACTTACTCTGACTCCAGTGTTTCAAATCTCAGCTCATACAAAGCCTCTTTGGGAAGCTTCCATGTTTCTTCCAGTCATTATAGTTCTTCTTGTGTTTTTTCATAACTCCCTGTGTCTATTACTATGTTGATAATTGTGTGTGTGTGTGTTTGTGTGTGTGTGTTTATGTGTTTTGTTTTGGTATTGGGGACTGAACTCAGGGAATTTTACCACTGAGCTACATTCCCAGTCCTTTTTATTTTTTGAGACAGGGTCTCACTAAGATGCTCAGGACTTCACTAAATTGCTGAGGCTGACCTGGAACGTGATTCTCCTGCCTCAGCCTTCCAAGTCCCTGGGATTATCAGTGGTCTATTCTGACCTTTGTAAAAGCATATTATACTGTGGTTTGTGTTCTTGTATATCTCCTTTAGTAGACACTTCCACTGCTTTTAAGTTAGGGACTTTCTTCTCTGACCTTACATGTTGCAGTTCATAAAATGATACCCCCAAAATATGGTGCCTTGGATGCTGATCACTTTGAAATAAAGGAGATTGGTAGTCCTCAGAAGCAAGGTTTCTCTGACCTACTTCTGCCCTCCTATCTCTTGTTCTTTTTTCTCCTCTGAAGCCAAAGAGTGAAATTAGAATTCCTCTTTCCAAGGTGGGGCATGGAAACTAGAAACTGTCTTTTCCAAGACAAGCCATAAAATCTAGAAAGCTCACTTTCTCCTTTCTCCCTTAAAGACCTGCAATCTAGAGGGTTTTTGCCTCACACCTGGTAGGAAGAATGTCACCCAAGAGGCCAAGAAGAATCTGAACTGACAGACCTTGCTGGGTTTCCCCCCTCAGTCCATTGGTTGTATCACATTTCTACATGGATGTCTGTTTATCAAACTTAAGCGTAAAAAGTTTTCCCAGGGTGTTTGCCTCTTCATTTCTGGAGGCTCCCATTTCATGTAAAATTGATTAAATAAATTGGTGATGCTTTTTTTTGTCTCTCTCTCTTGCAGTACTGGGATCAAATCCAGGGTCTCATCATGTGAGGCAAGTGCTCTACCAACTGAGTATACCTCAACCCACTTTTCTTTTATTATTCTTTTACTATAGGAGTGTGGGTTGTGATCCTGAGGAGGGTGAGGAAACCTGTCCTACCTTTTCTACTCCTATACATAACACATATTACAATGTCTGACCATATATGTTGGTTTACTAAATTGAATGGAGTTATACTTACTATATTGCTTTTTTTATTTTTTTGGAACTGGGGATTGAACCCAGGGGTGCATTATCACTGAGCTACAACTGCAGACTTTTTTATTTTTATTTGGGGAGAGGGTTTTGCTAAGTTTTTCAGGCTTGCCTCAAACTTTTTGATCCTCCTGCCGCAGCCTCCTGAGTTGCGTGGTTATAGGAGTGTACCACCATGCCTGGCATAATTTTTTTATATATATTGTCTATTTTTTCCTTTTTTTTGACCAGGGATTGAGTCCAGGGATGCTTAACCACTTAGCCACATCATTAGCCCTTTTTATCTTTTATTTTTTGAGACAGGGTCTCACTAAGTTGTTTAGACCTTTGCAAAGTTGTTGAGGTTGGCATTGAACTCACGATCTTTCTGCCCTAGCCTCCCTGGCCACAGAGATTGATATTTTACCTGTCATTTATCTGACCTATTCATTCTATGAAAAAAAAAAAGTGCTAGAGTGATAGTATACTACAACTCTTACCTTTACTGCCACTTTTGCTTAGGTGACTCACATCAGAATTTGTATTCCGTGAAATGGTTTATGAGTTATTCATTCCCATGTTTTAAGAAGTGAGTACTTCAAATTATTAATGTATATCCAAGTTAACAATATGTACTTACTAATCCCTTATTTAACTCTTCTCTAAATTAGGGGTAGTTTTTAAAAATAAGGCAACATAGAACAATAAAGTTGTAGGTATAAAGAGAAGAGGGCTGGAGGTGAAACTTGGTGGTGGTAGAGTGCTTGCCTAGCATGCATGAAACTTGGGCTAGAGCCCCAGCACCACAAAACAATAATGAAAAAAAAAAAAAAACATGAAAAAGGAGATCAGAAACTATGGAAAGCCACAGGGGCCCTGTTAGGAGGAAGCCGGGTAAGGCAGTAAGCACGCTAAGTGGCTCTGTGATCTGTGGTGGGGAAGCCAGAAAGAAGAACCCACAGGACTAATCTGCCTGATTGTATATATCACAAAGTTTGAACAGACGAACTTCCTCTCGCCCTGTAGTGGGGATTGAACTCAGGAGTTCTCTACCACTGAGCTATAACCCCAACCCTTTTTATTTTTTGTTTTGAGACAGGGTCTCACTAAGTTGCCAAGGTTGGCTTCAAATCTGCACTTCTCCTGCCTCAGCCTCCCAAGTAGCTGGGATCACAGGTGTGTGCCATTACACCTACCTGAACAGACAAACTTTTACTGTACTAAGTTCTGAGAAAAACTTATTACATGAAACCTTACATAGAAAATAGTGGATAAGGTAGTTGATAATGTCTTTGGCTGTAATCTTAAAAAGACATAGAGGTGTAATTCATATGGCTGTTTCTTTCCTAAAAGCAAGGAACTAAAATTAATCCAGGATACTAATTTCTGGGTTCAAGTTTGAAACAGAAATAAAACTCAGGGGTCTAAGAGATATGGACTGACAAAACAGTCTTTAGGCTATTTCTTGTTTCATTTGTTCAACGTTGACAAAACTGTGGCTATCAGTCTATCACCTCTGAAGTCACTAAAGAGTTCCGAGCTCACTGAAGAGTAAGTGTTCTGTTGATTGGAGATCGGAAAGCGATAAATGTCATAAAATAGGCAAAAGTGATGACTGAAGGGCAAACCACTTGTCTGATTAAAGAGAGGCTTGCCCATAAAGAGAGCCCTGAGTGGCTGGAACACATGCTGTGCTTGTTAACAAATGATGTTAGATGTGGCACATGCCACTTTTCATTTTCTTAGTTTTTGACCTGTTCTGGAAGTTAGACTGCAGGCACACCATTAGGCTTAGAATGTCTAAATCATCTAGTTCTCTCCAGTATTACTAATATGCAATTCTGAGTATATTAATTCTCCAAAGAATTTTGGTGTGATTTTAATAAAAATAGTAAAACTGTAGGTACAAAAAGGACATTAGAAACTATTGAGGGAAGAGGACAAACAATTAGACTGGGAAGCTGGGGTACAATTGTGAGATAAAGCTGACTTCATGGGAGTGTTATGAGGATTAAGAAGAGTAACTTGTGGGAAACAATTTCCCATTGTCCACTCACAAATGCTCAATGAATATTAATCTCCTTTGTTCCTTCTTTTTCTGTAGGGTAATCATTGAAGCATGTATGTATGTATTTATGATACCGGAAATTGAACCCAGGGGCACCCTACCACTGAACTGCATCCTCTGATAGGGGCTCATTAAGATTCTGAGGTTCGCCTTGAAGTTGCTGACTTGGCCTCCCAAATCTCAGGGACTGCAGGTATTCACCATCCGGCCTGGTTAGTGTGTGTGTGTGTGTTTGTTTCTGTGTGTGTTTGTGTGTCCCACCCAGGGCCTCGGGCATGGAAGGTTAGTACTCTATCACTGAACTACATCCCCAATCCTGTCACTTACTTTTATTTTCATTCCTGTAGAACTTTGTACAACTAGACAGGAGGCAAGACTTATGTAATTGTGTATTGAATTTATTTTGAACGGTTTTCCTTGTCCTAACAAGTTAGGAAAAAATTGTAATAATGTGGTTTGTAGAATATGACCTGCTTAAAGGTGAAAATACTTCCATGTTACGAAAAAAGCCACATCCTCTAAAGTAATGCGAGTAGTAGTATTATTCCCTCAACTAAGTCTTTTTGGAAAACTAGAACTTACTCCATTGAAGCTGTCATAACTCAAAACTTTTGGGATCTTCTTTCCTTTTTGTGGAAAGAAACAGTGCTGGCAAGATGACTAAAAGGACAGACTTTGGAACTCTGGGCTTATTGGTATTTGATCCAACTTCTATTGCTTAGCAGTTTTGTGGCCTTCAGTAAATGAGTTTGTTTTCTCACCTATAAAGTAGGAATATCAATAGTATCTATCTTATGAGAACATAACATATAAGAAATTTAAAATATTTTTAGCATCTAGGGTGGAAATTGTTAATACTCAGAGACACAAAATGAACACATGCCAAAGATTTTATTTAATGAGAGAATCAGCAAAGTGTTAAAACTTTTTCACATGGAGATTTGACCTTATTTTCAAGAGGACAAAACTTGGGGCTGGGATTATGACCTAGTGGTAGAGCATGTGTGAGGCCTTGGTTCAATCCTCAGCACCACATAAAATAAATAAATAAATAAAATAAAGATATAAAAAAATCAAGAAGAAATTAAAAAAAAAAAAGAGGACAAAACTCATTTGTACTGCCATCAATAGGAATCACTGCATAGTGAGCCAGGAAATATGCACATTATTTTAAGTTTGCTATGCCAATTTTTAAATTTTATTTTGAGACATGATCTTGATAAGCTGGCTATACACACACACACACACACATTTTTAAGTTTGTTGGCCTCAAACTTGTGATCCTTCTGCTTCAGCTTCCCATATAGCTGGGATTATTGGCATGCACCACCACACCCAGCTCCTATAAGTCAATTTTTACCTTTTCAGGGTTATAAAATGACCTGTTGGAAGACATGTGTGCATACTCCACAGGGAACAAGCATTCTATTAAAAGGAAATCTGGTGATCTCTTCTGCCCATTCCCAAACCTCAAATTCTCCCATGCAGAGGGTTGTCGAGATTTACAAGTTTATCTACTTAATGCATAAAGTCTGATTCATAGCAAACACTTAATCAACACTAATTATTACTAGTCCTTTCAGAATCTTCAGTATAGTATGTTCCTTTAAATTCTCTCAGCATTTTTTTGGCCTTGTAAGGAATATCCATTTTTTTTTTAAATAGCTGAGTTATCTGAAACCAAATCTATTAAATAAGTACAGAATATTGATTTTGCTTTTATAAGAATGATGTTTTTGATTTGGGGTACAGTGGTAGAGTGCTTACTTAGTGTCTGGGAGGACCTGGGTTTGATTCTCAGAATCTCCAAAAAAACCCAAACCCAATTAAAGAATAAAGCTTTTTTAAAAAAATATTATGTGAGTACTTTCACAGCTGGTTGATCAGATATATTTAAATGCCAATTCTTTAATTCCAAATGTTCAAATAGCTAAGACAAGCTATTTGAAGAACATATTTAGAGTTGATATCTGTGTTTGCTTTGAAATTTACTCTGAAAGCTTTATGGTCAACTTTTAAGTATTGTAAAAGGAAGGTGCATTCAAGGGAGGTGCTAGAGCTGGGTTGACTGCAGAGGCTGCAGCATCAACCCAGTTGATATATTCTGCTGGAACAAACCTGTATAGACCTGCAAGAGTTCTAAAGAAGAGCTATCTTACAAAGGGACAAGCTTATAATAAGGGATATTGTTGTCTGGATACAAGGTGTCCCTGTTAATGCAGGAATGTTTGGCGGTGAAATGATTGAATTGTGAGAGCTGTAACCCAATCAGTTCAACCTACTTTGAATGGACTGACTGGGTGATAACTGTAAGCAGGTGGGGTGTGGCTGGAGGAGGTTGGTCACTGTGGGTGAGGCCTGGAAGACTTCATCTTCCCTGCAGTTCCTCTCTCCCTTCCTTTTCTGCTTCCTGGCAGTCATGAGTGGAGTAGTGCTCTTCCACTAAGCCCTTCTGCCATGATGTTCTGCTTCATGGTGGACACGCCACAATGGTGTTGGCCCACCATAGACTGAACCTTGGAAACCATGAACTGAAATAAATCTTTCCTTCTCTAGATTGTTGTCAGGTATTTCGGTCAGTGATAAAAACCTAACATCAAGTAAGATGTAATTATTTGATGAAAATGTTCTGAAATGCTTTCAGTAGTGAGTTTTTAACAATAAAACAAAATAATAACCATTAAAGTTAAAGTCAACGTCAATTAAACCATATCATTTCCCTTCCTACTTGGTTTTGAAATTCAACTTCCCCTTTATTTACAGATAAACATATCAAGTGAGTTTTCCTTTGATGAAACAACTTAGGAAATGGAACAGTTCACCTTGTGGTTTTAGGAGATAACATCATCTCCCCTGTGCAGCTTGGCATGTGCATGTCAAGAGCTGCCCAAGAAGGTGCGAAGTCCTGCCACTCAATGTAGTCCCTGGACCTGAAACAACTACACAACTTGGGAGCTCCCTAGAAATGTGGAATCTTGGAATCCATTCCAGATCTTCCAAATCAGAATACATGTTTTTTTTTTTTTTTTAATGCTAGCGATTGAACCTAGGGCCTCTATCACTGGTCCACATCCCTCTCACCACCACCTGAATCTGCATCTTAACATGATCTCCTAGTGATTGATATACACATTAAGACTTTATTGGGCTGGGGTTGTGGCTTGGTGGTAGAGCACTTGCCTAGCACATGTGAGGCACTGGATTCAATCCTCAGTACCACATTAAAAAATAAATAAAATAAAGGTATTGTGTCCATCTACAAGTATCTATCTATCTATCGATCAAGAGACTGACTTTATTTGTTGAGTACTGGGGGATTAAACTAAAGGGGACTTTTACCACGGAGCTGGATTCCTAGTGCCACTTATTTTTGAGACTGTGTTTTGCCAAGTTGCTGAGGCTGGCCTAAAACTTGTGATTCTCCTGTCTTAGCCACCATTTTGCTGGGATTACAGACATTCACCACCAGCTGGGTACATTAAGCCTTTATAACTGTTCTAGATTATAGCCCAGGTTCCTCTCCTGCCTGCTTAATGCTACCATGGGGAGCTTGAGGAGGAGGAAAGACTTGGGTTGATCTCAGTCTTAACACTAAATATCTGCTTTGTTTCCCACCACTTAATACCAGCCCTGCTTACTTACTGCTGTGTGGACCAAATGGGATCCAACAAAGTCCTACATGACCTGGGTCCAGCCTGTATGAGCCTACATGCTGTTTCTTCATTGGGATTCTCCTACATCACCAATCTGGTCACCTTCTGGTGAGTTACTCTATTTTAATTTTCTGCAAGGCATTTATGACATGATTTGAGCAGGGACAAAGTCAGACATATTCAGGATTGTAACCCTAGTGCCTTGATCTGTGTCTGACACACTGCATGCTCAATGTATTTAATGAATAGTTGGAGAATAAAAACACTCTGGAAAACATAAAGCACTAGAAGAATATCAAATGCTTTTATCCACATAAAAGCTTCCTTGCTATTACCTATTGATTTCTCTTGGAAATAAGAGCAATATTCTACTGATTATTCCTCAGCCTATATTATGTAAGTGAAAACCTGCTGACTTCATTAAGCAAGAAAGACTGGAATGCAGATTGCTTTTTATTATGTTTCAAGGTCGTAATTCATTTGTTGTCTGTATCTCCTGCCTTTAGGTATCACTGTGAGACTCTTCATTGACATTAGGTCCATTTTATTCATTTCCATGGAGAAAGGGAAGAACGTAAAGGAGAAAAAAGATACTGCTAAAGTCACATTATGGGACAGCTGATGCTGCTCTGCTCAGACACTTTGCCAAGAATGGCCAGATGGCTGAAGGCTGGCCTGGCAGAGCTGCCTGAGGCTCAGGAAGGGCTGCAGGTCAACAGCCAGATCACACTGCATGAAACCACTAGCTGAGAACTGGTCCGAGGTTCCTTCTGCCATGAACCTCAAATGTAATAATGGCTTATTGGTTTAGTTGTGATTTTCAGTTAAGCATGACAGAAATTGGTTTTAAGTTCAATACTGGAGGTTCCAAAGGTTAGTTCACATAATCCAATGACATATTATAGTAGACCACAGCTGTTTTCTTTAATCTATTTAGTTCTCTTACCAGAAAGGTTTAACAAACTCTCCTACTGTCATCAGATTAGGGCTAAACACATCCCTCTGATCATAGGTAGTGATACCTTTTTATGAATACGCTATGAACAACAACTGCAAAAAAGCCACAAAGAAAAAAGTGCACAAAGCGACAGCATATTTACTTGCCTAGTTTGCAGAATAAACAGAGCAATGGCCCCATCTGCTGATACTGTCTAAAATGGCAGGAAATGAGGATGACGTTACAGCAATATTAAGACTCCTGCCTTGACTTCATTTCAATGCCAAAGTGATTCACAGCATTGCTGAGAAAAGTCTATTTGGAGAACTATTTTGATATTGTTCTTAGGCACAAAGTGATGAGAGGTTTCTAATATTTCCTATGATTCCATGCTTATTTTTAAATGAGTTGTACTGCTCCAGAAGCAACGAGAGGTGCAATGGTTTTATATCGGATCAAGTGTTGTGAGCCCTCTTCCAAGTCAATCACATAGTCTCTGAAAAAGGAGGGAAAAAATTTTAGCTGCAGAGATTAAGCTGGTTCTCCATTGCGAGGAGTACTTCCACTGAGAAAGACACATATCACTCACCTCTGCTCATCTGTTTCTGGTTCTACCAGTATGTTTTCTTGTCGTTCTTTCACTCTCAGAAACACATATGAATCTAGATCTGGTTTTGGAACTGCCGGAAAAACAATAATGCAATCAGAAAATGTGTAGCTAACAAGGTTGATTTGGGAAGTCACTGGGGTTAATGGTACCGAACACCCAGGGATCCCTGATGAAAAGCACTGTCGGAGGGTGACACAAGGAGAGATCTGGCTCCTTATAGCCAACACTCATTCAGTAACTAAGTATCTACAATGTGTAGGGAATTATTCTAGGTAGTGGCTCCCCTAATCCAAAAAGGATGTATTCCAAGGCCCTCAATGGGTGCCTGCAACTGTGAACAGTACCAAATTATATATTTCTTACTATACATATCTATAATATGTATAGAAATAAAGTATAATAAAGTTTAATTTATAAATTGGACACAGTAAGAGATTAACAATAATACAAGAACAATTATATTGTAATGAAAGTTATGTGAATGTGGTCTCTCTCCTTTAAAATATATATATTTTTTCTCTTTGGGGGGGTACTAGGGATTAAACCCTGGTTTTATCACTGAGCTATATCCCCTGCCCATTTAGTTTATTTTGAGACAGGGTCTTGCTAAGTTGCCTACATTGGCCTCAAACTCACAATCCTTCTGCCTCAGTCTCACAAGTGACTAGGATTACAGGGAAGTCTCACCATACCCAGCTTCAAAATTTTATTCTACTGTATCTACCTTTATTGTTGTAAGGTTGTGAGATGATATAATGCCTAGGTGATAACATAAAGTGAGGGGAATGACTTAGGCATTGTGAGGCAGTGTTAGGTTGCTAGGTAAGGATTATTTGAACACAAGAGGTGTGTGACAGTTGATTTGATAAGTGAGATTTCATCATGCTAGTCAAAAAGGCACATAATTTAAAACTTAGGACTTATTTATTTCTAGATTTTTCCATTATTATTAATGGATTGTGGGATGTAACAAAAGCTAAGGAAGGAATATACATGAAGTTTTAGGAGGGAGTGTTTAAAGGAGAGATTAAAAAGCTTGGGTCATATGGTGACAGTCTTGAATGTTAGACTAAGGAAGTTAGGTCTTCTAAGTGGTCTTTCATTGATCAGTTACAGGTTAAGAAACTGCTGCCCTCCTGCTATCACTAGCCAACATTTCCAATAAGTGTCCTAGCTGGGCTGATCCACTTTAGTTACTCATCTCCTAGAGTTCCATTTGTACCTAGAAGACTCAATCAACTGCAGGGTCCAGAGAAGCTAAGGATACTTTCCCACTCTAAGAGTCCTGCTTAGGTTTTGTACTACCCTTGGCTCCCTTATCTACAGGAAAACTAGCTCCAAAGTTCTAAGGAGGGTCCCTTGGGCTGCTTAAGAACTCTGGGCCTATTAAAGAAACTCCAACTTATCAGAGTAAATCTGGCTCCACTGGGGAGTTTCTGATTTTAGAAACACAGCTTGGGTTTCAAAAAGTCTACCCTTACCCTGTACTTGGGGCCCAGATGTTCCAGAGGCTTTAGGAAGACTAATTAAGGAAGACCCTGATTTTATCAGGGGAGGCTAGTTCTGCCATGCAGCTTCGATTCCAAGAGTCTGGTTTTTGTCCTTGAAAGTGATCCAACATAAGCAATGTGTATCTTAGGAAGCGTTCACCAGTGTGAAGTAGAAGTGCTGGGGACAATGGCTAGATTCAGTTCCAGGAATTCATATGCATGCCCATCAGCAGTTTCTCAGCTGATGTGATCAACTGGATAAGATAGCACCAGGAAATGATTGGGGATATTGCCTTGGTCCACTCCTGTTCCTTCAAGGTGTAGATAACCGTGACTGACCAAGGAGGGAACTGGAAATGCATGGGGCTTTTTGTTTCCCTTGGGCAGGCTTGCAAAATGACCAATCCAGAATTCAACAAATCTGGTATGGATTTGGCTTGTTCCTGGTGTTATGGACTAAATTGTGTTCTCCCATATTTGTACTTCAGAATAAGATATGTCTGGAAATAAGGCTTTTAAGGAAGTAATTAAATTTAAACAAGGCCATTAGGGTAGGTCCTAATCCAGTCTAAGTGGCATCTTTACATAAAGAGATTAGGACACAGAAAATGATATTAGTGACCCTAATTTTTTCAGTGCTGAGGACTGAATTCAGGGCCTTCACTCCACTGAGCTACACCCCAGACCCATATTAACAACTTTACAAATGAGGCCTGAGGGAGGACTGGACTGGTAGTGTAGCTCAGAGTATAGACCTTGCCTAGCATGTGTGAGTGCTTTTTTTTTTTTTAAAAAAAAAAAAAAAAAAAAAAAAGGAGATTATTTTATTTGCCCCTTCCCTTCTAACATGTGAGGAAACATAGAAAGCACCACCATGAGGGATAGGTTCTCACCAGACACTGATTCTGCTGGTGCTTTGATTTTGGACTTCCCAGCCTCCAGAACTATGTGGCTCGGACTAAGATCCTATTCTACTGCCACAGAGATTCCTGTGCAGGATCCAGGCCAGGTCAGGGAAGAGATGGATTTCCAAGGCCTAGCCACACTTGTGGCCATAGTACACCAAGCTTAGCTTGTGAACAAGGTGGATTCCAATCTCCGGGAGAACTTTTTTATTGGATCTGGAAATTTTGCTTGACAAGATCCTGCTCAGATACAGCAGATTAGGAAAGACTAAGGAATTTAGATTTCACCTGTAAGCCAGAGGTGCCTAACTGCTTCATCCAAGGTTAAGTGTGCCTAACTCTCCTTCCTCAGCTCAGCAGACTTCAGGGGGCAGTGTGAGGGCTTGGGCCAGAGATTTGGCCAAGCCACCTTTCCCCTGGCTGTTTTCCTTTTCCTGTTTTTTTTTTTTTTTTTTGGTTTTGTTTTTTAAACCAGAACCCTTCTTTTCTTTACTGCTTATCTACATACTTATTTTCTCAAATTTGTGAGAGTGAAGTTGAAGATTCTACTCTCAGGCACCTGGAGGTTATTTAGGATGTATACTATGGCACCTTGACCTTGGTGAAAGACAGGGTTTTGCTTACCTGCCCTTAAGAGGTCCACCTTCTGTAGGTTGGGAGGCATGTGCTTTAAGGCAACATTTTTAAGATAGGCCTCTGTGTGAGCCATGTACCTGAAATACACAAATTCAAATTGCTGTGGCACACATGATTGGTAGGAGTCACCCTGGTTGTCAGACAGATAGCAATGGATGAGGCTCTGGCTCTGGCTCTGTGGGGATAACCACCAAAACTTGTGCCTACAAGCTGAAGACAAAGGCAGTTTCATGCTTCCTGCTCACTCACTCTTTGGCAAAGGCAAACTCCTCTGGAGAAAGGCTGGAAGACTCTCCCTCAGGTCGCATTTTCTCCTTCTCAAGGATGTGAGGAAAAAACTTCTCTATCTGTGAGGATAAACAAAAACCATGAAAACATCTGTTAGGATTCAAATGTCAAATATATCTGCTTGCTGAAAGAAGTTGGAGATAGAATCTGATAAGGGGCTGAGGATGTAGCTCAGTGGTAGAGAGCTTGCCTGGCATGTACCAGGTCCTAGTTCAAACCCCAACACTCATAAACAAAAGGAAAAACTTTACAAAATGGCAAGTTTTCATGGTTAAAACTCCTTTTTGTTGTTGTTGTTTTATTATTCATTCTAGTCAGTGAACATCATTGTGGTTTTAATTTACATTCTTTAATGGCTAATGATGCTGAGCACCTTTTCACATAATCATTTGCCATTTAATGTTTTGCTTGATGAAATATATGCTCAAATAATTTGCCATTTTTTCACTGCATGGTTGCTTCCTTGATATTTTAGAGTTCTTTGTATGTTCTGGATACATTGTCACTTCTATGATTTGCAAATATTTTCTTCCAGTCTATAGCTTATTTTTTCTTTATCTTATTGGTTTCTTTTGCAGAATAAATGTTTTAAATTTGGATGAAATCTAAATTATCTTTTTTTTTTTTTTTTGAGATGTTCCTTTGGTGTCATATCTAAAAATTCTTTGCCAACCCCAAGGTAATATAGATTTTCCACCATGCTTTCTTCTTAAAGATTTCTACTTTTAGCAGGGCATGGTGGCACAAGCCTGTAATCCCAGCGGCTCAGGAGGCTAAGGCAGTAAGTTCACAAGTTCAAAGCCAGCCTCAGCAATGGTGAGGTGCTAGCAACTCAGTGAGACCCTGTCTCTAAATAAAATACAAAACAGGGCTAGGGATGTGGCTCAGTGGTTTCGTGCTCTTGAGTTCAATTCCCAGTAACCCCCCCCAAAATTTATACTTTTACATATATATATATATATATATATATATATATATATATATATATATATTTTTTTTTTTTTTTTTTTTTTTTAATTTCAAGACAACTTTTACATAAGGTATGAAAGCTGACTTTTTGCATGTGGACATCCAATTATTCCAACACCATTTGTTTAGAAATGTAAATTACTGAATTTCTTTTACATTTTTATCAAAAAATCAATTGATTATTCATATACTTATTGGCTCTACTCCATCCACTGATCTGTTGTTCCATAGGTTCACCAATACAGACTGTCACAATTACTGTGGCTTTATCATATGTCTTAAAACCAAGTACTACGCTTCCTTTATTTTTTCATGGTTTTGGCTATTGGTTTGGGGATAACTGATATATTTTCTAATAAGACTTATGCTCTGGATTTTAAGGGGAGGTTTCCAAAAATTTGAGGAAAGATAAAGGCTCTAAAAAAGAAGACAGTTAAAGAGAAATGGGAAGCTTTCATAAAAGAAAACCTGAAAATACAATTGTAAATGATGTCAAAGAAGAAAAGGTATGACTTAACATTTTAATATAACTGCACAGAGTGTTCTATGAGCTGAAATACAAACACTGTAAGATGTATACAGAATACACAAGTAGACATAACAACATTTAATTATAAGACTAAAACCAGAAATGAAGTAAGGCTTGAAAAAAAAAATGCTAAGAAAAACAAACAAACATCTTACAACCAAACAAACCAAAAAGCTAAAAGCTACAAAATGGTGTATATCCAAGAACTGGAAAAGGACTGGCCTGTGGTTTGTGCTGTTATTTTTGTCAAAGGAAATGTTCTTTGGAAGTAGGAAATTGACAGTGGTAAGCAGGAAATAAAGGCCAAGAGAAAGTAGCACTTAACTGTTTTTAAAGGACAGTAAAAGTCTTTTGGCTTAGACCAATTGTGTTCTGGGATAAATTAACAAATTAACATATGTATGGAGTTCATGCTTATAAAACCTTTTCTGTCATATGTAAATTTCTACCACATCACTTAATGTACTAAAATATGTGTAGTTTCATGATCTTAGAAGAATCACTAAAATCAAAAGGCGCTGTAAAAGATTGGAGATAGGAAAATTTCCTGATTTTTCAAAAATGGAAAGGTGCTGCATCTTCACATATGAACTAATATAGTGCCATTGATAAATGGCACTATATTAAGATGGATAATTTTAGAGAGACTTATTTGTCTTTGTCACAGTGGAGATTGAACCTAGGGCCTCACACATGCTTACCACTGAGGTACATCACTAGCCTGAGAATGGATGATTTTAAAAGGCTTATGAAATCAAAAAGATGTAGTTAACATGAAGATGATTTACCTGACTAAAATAGGGAGAAAAAGGGGTAAGTGGACTAGTTGGGAGTGGGAGGCACATCTGCCTCCCTGTCCATCTACCTCCCTATCTATGCATTCCTGCCTATCTATCTATCTATATAGTACTAGGGATTGAACCCAGGAGATTTCTATCACTAAGCTAACATCCCCATTCCTTTCTATTTTTTGAGACAGGATCTACATTACTGAGATTGGCCTCAAATTTGATCCTTTTGCCTCAGCTCTCAAGATGCTGGGATTACAGGTGTGAGCCACCATGCCTGGTAACATATATACTTTTAAAATTATCTACTAATGTCTTTGTGATACCCTTATACACAAATTACGAACCTGGGGTTGGAGTGATAGTATAAATTGGGAGGTTCACAAATGGTTGAATACAGAATATTGATTCCAGGCTGGGAATATAGCTCAGTTAGTAGAGTGCTTGCCTCACATGCACAAGGCCCCAGCGGGGTTCAATCCCCAGTACCACACACGCACACAAAAAAGAAAAAAAAAATTGGTTCAATGGATAGATGTCAATATATGTATGGAGTTTACAAAACAGAGAGTTTTGTAAAATCTCTGGTGAAATACTCTTACATTGGCTCAGTCTTATTAATGAATGATATTTTTTATGAATATACATAAAAATTGCTGATGACATAAAGTGTTAAGAGATGGCTAATATATTAGGTGATAAGGTCAGAATCCAGAGACTAGGGAAACTGCCTGTATGATTAAGGTAAATTTTAAGAAGAATAAGTATCAAAATCTTACATTTGAGAGTCAAAACCCAAGCCATATAAAGACAGGATGGTGACTAAGGGGTGATTATAACTTAAACATTTTTGAAGGGGTTAAATAAGTGTGGAATGAGCTTTGCATGATGTCTCTGTCAAATGTGCTAATGTGACAGTGGGTGGTGGTACTACAATAAGTTCAATGTCCAGAGTAACAGAAGTGATCATCCTATTTAACAAAAGTGGCCAAATTTCAACTGGGATATTTTATTTAGTTCCATGTAGTATAATTTGAGAAATATGAACCTTTTTAGAGAAGAGACCAGGAGAGTAAATGGATTCAAATGGTTGAACTGGTTAACCAAGATAAGACTTGGATGAGATTTGTGGGCTGTCTTCAGATATCTGAAACACTCACATGTATTGTGAGTATGTAGAAAAGAGAATGTATTGATTTCTAATAACTAGACAAATGGAAACAAGAAGAAATCTCAAGAAAGTAAGAATTTCCAAGGGCTAAAAAATACATCATACAAAATAATATTCATAATTTCATTTTTATAAGTTAGATGACTATAGAGCTATAGTAGAATGCCAAGCTTTCATGGTCCATTTGACAGATGTAAAAAAATTTTAAAACTAGTTTTCTCTAGGTAGTATTTCCTATTCAAACAATGAGAACCACTCTATCATTATTACTCCCTCATTGTAACTCCATGGGGCATCATCCACATATCAATAAACAGACTAGAAAATATATATAGTGTCCCTGGGTTGTACATCCAATGTTTCAGCTATATTTCCCAGAACAATCTCTTGCCTTCCTTATTCTTTGGCTACTTTGATGTTGGGCTCTTAATAGCATCTTCAGGCTCTGGACACTCTCAGGCCCTGTCCTAATTTTCCCTGGGGCCTTTATTATAAACTTTATTGCCTTAATGCCTACAGGTATCTCTATGTCAAACCTTCATGAGTCGACACCGCAAGTAGCTGCTGAGGACATAGCGGATCCTCTCCATCTCCATTCGATGGATACTGACCTTCAGATCCCCCTTTTTGGCTCTCTTGAGATTTTCTTCCTGTTAAAGGAAGAACTAAAGTTTATTTAAAACATAATGTTCAAAGACTAAAAACCATCAACACCGGCAAAGTTGAGGACCCAAAGACAAAGGAAAACAAAAAACTCTTATACATGAGTTCTTATTTTCAAGTTTTTTGAGGGGTGATAGAAATTGAACTCAAGGCCTCATGCATAATCTTTTAATTATACAAATAATATATGACTACAGTCTTGATATATATAGTTTAATCAATACTTAATTACTTTTAGAAAGTAACCATTTGAATAGAATCTGAATATGGCCAGCCACAAAGGCTCTGAACTCCAATATAATCACAAAGGAAATTTTACAGCACATAGAAGGAATGCCTAAAAGCTTTATAAAGCAGTATAAATATCAGTTGAGAAACTGTAGAATAATCACATTTTAAAACTACTCTGAAGTTGATAATACTTAAACCCAGATCACCTAAGCCAAGCAGCATAAACTCAAAATGGTTGTAGAGGTCAGGCAGGTAAGGGAAATGAGCAAGGAGGGTAGTCAGGGATTGTGGAAAACAGAAGAGCCTGATGGAAGTGGGTAACAGCCCGCTCTGGTCAACTCTTCTCATGTGGAAATGTGGGATCAGCAATGACAGGTCTTTAGACCTTTCATAGGATGCTGACAGGAACTTTCATGTTTTGTAAATATAAGTAACCAACTCTAATATAGCCAACAGAACAGGTTTTTTTTTTTTTTTTTTTTTTTAAATCAGACTACAATCTCTCACTACGTTTTAATTTTCTCATCCTTTGTAACCCAGAGACAAGCAATTCTTACCATGTGATCTAGTTGTTCTATGACACATTCTACAATTTCAGACTTGCTTTCTAGCAGTTCAGGGGCAAACTTTTCATTCATCCAAGCCTAAAAAACAATGTAGATAAATGTGAGGGTCATTTACAATGGAGAAAAATAATCCAGTGGGTCAGATCATAGATCATGAAAATCACAGATGTCACAAACAAAGAAAGCTATTTGCATATTAGTTGGAAATATTAGAAATGCTCTGAAGACAAAGTATGTTAAAGGATGGCTCTTTTATGTTTTCTTTCAGTGGGAAGGCTGTGCTTACAACCTTTTATTAAAATAACAAAAAAATCAGTTCACTTCAGTTGTCAGTATAAGTTTTGATGAGAGTAACGCCACCTGGTGTTCCAGCAGTACTGTCATCAAGTAACATTAACACATTGCTACTTCTCCCACCAGGGGGCACTGACTGTCACCTATTTTAAGAGACAAGTAACCTTATGTGAATCTACACCTCTTCATTCCTAAAGCTCTGTGCACTTTACAAATACTTTTCACTCATCATTATAATATCTGAGAGGAAGTGGATATAATACTAATAGCTCCAAAGTAGAAAGGATCACAATAGAAATGGATAACTCATTTATTAAGGTTTTAAAGCATGAGGATAAGTGTTTAATTTATGACTCAGAACCAGCTGCTTGGTACATTTTGCAGATTACCAAGGCTTGGAGAACTGAAATATACATAAGTGACCAAGGAAAGCTATACTTATCTTTCAATTACAGGAAATTGAGTTTTAGCATAGCTCAGAATTACATGTCAACCAGACTCAACCTATTTTTTCTGATGTCCTTGAGTCTCTGCTTCCCCAATTACCATCATTACAACACATTATTAAATGCTGGGTATTGCTACAGTAATAAATTTTTTTCAAGTGCTTGAGCTTCTGTAAGTTTTGTAGCTATATAATTTTGTGTGTGTGTGTGTGTGTGTACACGCACATGCGCTGAGGATTGAACACAGGACCTTGTGCATGTGAAGCAAATATATTAACACTGCACTACTGGTACCCCCTCAGAAAAGAAATATTTAACACAAAGAAAAATGATATCAACATTTGTGTGTATATAACTTTATTAAAGAATAGTGTCATTATTTTAAAAGTCATTGTGTGTGATGATTATTTCCTTAAAGATGATCATTAGCTGACATTTAGCACTTAATTTTTTTTATAGTTTCACTACATTTGTTTGCATCAATACATGTTCTTCCCAGCCTTTTAATAAAAGCACATTGGAAGAAAGTGATAATCGCTGGGGTAAAATAAAGTGAATTTGGGGAGATCTTTCAGTTATATTGTGAAATTATGATAATATCATCATTAGAGAAATTTTTCTATTAGTATAAAATTTTTAAATAAAATCTTTCCAAAGTTTATAGTGAAAAACTTGTGTTTGAATTCATGGTCTTTTAAAAAATAATCAGGTTCTATGTTTACAGTGGCTATATCTGGTTCCTACTCTGCCCCTGCTGCCAATTTTTTTTTTTTTTTTTTCTGGTGATGAGAATCAAAACCCAGGGCCTCGTACATGCTAGGCAAGTGCTCTACTACTGAGGTACACACACACAACCCTGAGCAGAATTTTTAACAGCCTGTTTATCATCATTATGGTTGAACTGTGTCCCCCTCCAAAAATCATATGTTGTCTGGAGTATAGCTCTATGGTAGAGGTCTGGCCTAGCATGCATGACACCCTGGGTTGGATCCCCAGAACTGCAAATCAAACAAAATCATCAGAAATGAAAATCCATATGTTGAATTTCTAACTCCTAATACCTTAGAATATGACTGTGTTTGGAGACAGGATCTTTTAAAAAAGTAATTAAATTAAAATGATGTCCTTAGGATGGGCTCTAATCCAGTTAGACTGGTATCCTTGTAAGAATAGAAAATTTGTGATATAAGAAAAACTTTTGTAAAGCAACAAGGTAGACCACTTTAAAAAAAGTTTACCAGTGAATTTAAGTTCAAATATTTTTTGGTATTTATGTATGTTATGAATTTAGCAAATAGCAACAACAAGCCTGTTTCAATTTTTGTGCTTTTTAAATTTAAATGGATAAAATAAAAAAATATAAATATTTATGCAACAAACTTTTATGTATATATTGCATGATGTTTATAATGGAATAAACATATAGCTCTTCAAAAAAAAAAAAAAAAAGAACAGAAAATTTTATCACAGACACACACAAAAGGGAGACATGAGAGTAACCTACAAGACTATGTGAAGACATGAGAGTCATCTTCAAGCCTAGCAGAAAGGCCTCAGAAGAAACCAACCATCCTGGTATCTTAATCTTAGCATTCAGAGTTGAGAAGATAGAGTTCTGTTGGTTAAGCCATCCAACCTCTGTTATGTAGTCCTAGCAAACTCATACAATCATTAAAAGGAGAAACACTGCACTGTAGGCAACACCTTTTAAACCACTGTTTACAGGCATTCATCAGTATGCCATATATGTTGCTAGAGCTATGTTCATCAGTGGCCCCATCAGATTGTTCTTTTAGACTGTGCTACACAGCACAAGTGCTTCTATTTGCTACAGTAGCAGCAGCAGTTCAGGTTGTGGATCACCTCCTTGGCAGCACTTGGGGCACTGCAAGAGAACATCAAGCAAAAAGATACAACTCATATGCACTGCCAAGTTGTAGCTGTGCTGTCAGATCCTGCTATCCTCAGGCTGCTTTCCAAGGAGTCCCTAAGGACACCAAAAAGAGCATGCAGCCTAGGGCTCTGGCTGTCCAAGGGTGGAAGGATCAATACTGTGAGGTACTTGTAGCATATTACTGTACAAATGGCATTACCCAAGATAACAAGCTTTGCCTTAAACAATAGTTTTGTGAGCATGTGAACTCTAAACAAATGGTTTCTTCTGCAACTGGTATTTTCCTCCTCCCTCCCTTTTTTTCCCAGTGCTGGAGGTAGAACCCTGGACATCATGCACACCAGACAAGTGCTCTACAACTAGGGTATACTCCAGCCCATGCAACTTGTATTTTATTGTTCTAAGTTATTTTCCTGAGAGTTATCCATACTATTGCAGAAGCTCTTTTTTTTTTTTAAGGTTTCCCAGATGATGAACTATTTATTTACTTATTTATTTATTGTGATCCTGGGGACTGAACTCAAGGCCTCACACATGCCAGGAAGTGCTAAACCACTGAGCTATACCCCCAGTCCTGCAGAAGGTCTTTTACTCTTTTTCATTATTGTTTACTTTTTTCCCAATGTGCAATTTTTTACCAGTTGTTTTGTTGATGAATATCTGGGCTATTTTCATTTTTAACCATTGTAAACAATACTATGAACATACTGTGCACATCTCCTAGTGTACATGTGGAAGCTTTTTCTAGGTACATACCTGGAAGAGTTATTGGGCCACAAGGAATTTGCATCTTCAACTTTACTAGACAATAACAAATTATTTTCCAAAGAGATTGTACCAGTTTGCACCTCCACTGAAGTACATAGGTTGCAAATTATTCTAAATTCTTGCCAGAGTTTACCAAAAAGAGCATGCAGCCTAGGGCTCTGGCTGTCCAAGGGTGGAAGGATCAACACTGTGAGGTACTTGTAGCATATTACTGTACAAATGGCATTACCAAAGATAACAAGCTTTGCCTTAAACAATAGTTTTGTGAGCATGTGAACTCTAACAAATGGTTGTACCTTTTTTCATTTCTGCCAATCTGACTGGTATGAAATGATCTCTGATTGTGATTTTAATTTTCATTTTTTTAAATATTTTTTTTAGTTGAGATGGACACAATATCTTTATTTTTATTTGTTTATTTTTATGTGGTGCTGACGATTGAACCCAAGGCCTCATGCGTACAAGGCAAGTGCTCTACCACTGAGCTACAAACCCAGCCCCATAATTTCCATTTTTCTGATTACTAAAAAGCTTGAACAATTTTTTTCATATGCTTATTGGCCATTCTGATTTCTTATTCTGAATGAAAACCCCTGAAATAATGTGCAAAATTCTGCACAGGCACATATCTATGTGCATATATATATTTTCATATTTTATAAATATACATATTATTTTTACTGGTCTCTCAAAATGTTCTGTGACATAAAAACAGACTAAGGGGCTAGGAATATAGTTCAGTTGTTAGAATGCTTGCCTTGCATGCACAAGGACCTGGGTTTAATCCCCAGCACCACAAAACAAAACAAACAAAACAAAACAAAAAACAGAAAACCCAGATTTTTAAGAATCCCTGCAAATGGCCAAGGATGTAGGTTAGTGGTAGAGCCCTGGCCTAACATGTGTAAAGTCCTGGATTTAATCCCCAGAGTCATACATACAGCTTGTCACTCATGATACGGCAGGAAAGAATGAAGAATACTAAATTTTTAAACATGAGAGAGTTCTGGAAAGACAGTTAAAGAGAGAGGGCAAGAGTAAGGCAGAAAGTGCAGTGAATACACAACACAGGTTGGGACCACTGGTGTAGCTCACTGGTTGAGTATGTGCTTAGCATGTATAAGGCCCAGAGTTCAATCCCTACCATGTTTTCGAGTCAGAGAGATCTGAGTTCTTGTCTTAGCTGTGGTCTTACTGTGTGACCTTGCTTAAAGTACTTCACATCTCTAAGCTTTAGTTTCCACATCTGTAAAATGGAGATAATAATACTTGCCACAAAGGGTAAGGAATACAGTTACTAAGAGCTACAATTCAGTGAGGGTTTTTTATGTATCAGACAATATGTAAACAGTTAATCATTACAATGACTCTATGAAGTAGTTACTATTATCATCTCTATGAGACAAGCTATATAACTTGCTTAAGGGCACATAATAGACTAACAGCATGAAGGGATTTAACTCCTAACTACCAGAACTCCTAAACTACCAGAGGCTCATGAGAAAATCTTTGTAAAGAACTTAATACAGTTACTAGCACACAGAAAATACTCAATAAATCATTAACATTTAATTAGAAAGAAATAACTCAAATTATTTTAAAGAGTTGAACTACAGAGTATGACTCAAGAAAATATATGGGAGGAAAAGAAAGAATATGACCATTTTTTTTCCTTGAAGAAGGTATTTCAGCATTTTCTGGCTAACTCAGTCATTCTTCAGGGAAAGGAGAGGTATTTCAAGTGACTTAGGTGCAGAATTTAAAAGTCTAAAGTACACTTCTGCAGTCCCTGTAAATACTAAGTAGATCTTTGTTGTGTGAAATGTTCTATGAAACATACCCAAAGATGTCCCCTAATAACCTCCCTTGAATATCCCTTGATATTATGAGATTTCTAACAGAGGATGTCCTCTACTTTCTATTTTTGTGTAAGAATTCCATTTCCTCATATTTCTAATCAGTGACACTTGGACAGTTGATCTAATTTTAAAACCTAAAATTGGAACAAAGAGATTCTGTTTGAAATGCTTACCTGCTCCAGCCTTTCAATGAGCTCTGCAGGAGTTAGGACCACCTCTTCACTACCCCCATCAGAGTCTTGTTCTGTTAGATCCAGTTCCTCTGCCATCCTCTCTGAAACAAGAAATCTAGTAACACCAAAAAAATAATACATTAAAATAACACTAAAACAATAACACTAAAAGAACCAATGGAAAGGTGTTTTCCATTTGCAAGAATAGGCTACTAGGTATCTGAAGATGAGAACAATTTATGGGATTTGTAGGAGCCCACTGGAGGTGGCTAGGGATCTCACACTGACTTTTTAATATCTTGCCTCTTTCTTCAAATCTTAGGTATCAGTTTCTCAAAGAGGTCTCCCTTAAAACTGCTTCCACTATGTATACCTTGAATTAAACACCTTTCACACTAAATGATAATTATTCTTTGGTCTTCCCTTTAGTGGTCCTTTGCCTCCGAGGTTGTATTCATTTTAGTTCAAGTAGGAATCCGCATCTGTCCAGTGCCTGGCACTTCCAAGCACTGGGTATACAATCACCTGTACAGCCTGTGCAATCAGCACAGTGCTTGACTCGCAGCCCGCACTTAAACATGTTGGAGAATCAATGCCTAAGCTTTAGTTTCCACATCTGTAAAATTTCCCAGAGGCACAAGGTGCAGCGACATGAGACTAGTCGGTGACCCCTTAAGAGAGAGGATGGTGAAGCGGAGATAACTCCCCGGCGCCCCAAGGAAACTGAGAACATATTCCTTCCTCACTTTTCTCGGTGTCACCAGTACAGGCCATCCCCTCCCCCAACACATACACAGAGGTCCCACTCGCATACCCACTCGGGGACTCAGGAAGCAGAGACACTCCAGAGAAGCAGGAGGTCGGAATGCGAAGATCGTGGGGAAGCAGCTGGGGGTCTCCCAAGTAGCACCCGGAAACCTAAAGGCAGTAGAACGAATCCTTTGAGGCCTTCGCGGGACGTACCCAAGAAGCTTCTCAGCTCCCGCGCCACCTTGAGAAACTTTCCGCCCAGACAAAACGTCAGCACGCACGGGCGGCGCTAACCAATCATGGCGAAAAGAAAAGAGACAGGCATTCCATGTCCCCGCCCACAGGAGGGCGGGGCGAGGATTCGTTCAAACTCTAAGAGCCCTGACGGAGGCTGACTCTCTGGTCCGCAGTCCTGGAGGACAAACCCAAGGGTCGCCCAGAGGCGACGCAGTGCTTTGGGCTCCTTAGTCTTTGCCAGGGCTTTAGCTGTGATGAGTACTTGTTTTTCTAAAACTTTACCCTAATGGTTCTTGAACCCAGATTTTTAGGCTAGTGACGCAAGACGGCCAGCAACAGCTGGGAACCTTTGAGAAACGCAGGTTCTCAGGCTCCACAAACTTACTGAATCAGAAACTATGGGGGCGTTTTTCCAGATCCTCCAGGTGATTCAGATCCAGGTGAGGTTTGAGAAGCATTGCTTTAGATAATGCTTTCATCTCAGCTGCGTGACTGATTTTGTTGACATGTAGGGGAAAAGAAGGATAGTACTGTATATTTTTTTCCTTCGTGTGATGTCAGTGTTTTTTGTCAGAATTGATGCTTTTCTCTCTGCTTTTATTTCCTGTGCATAGCTTCTGGCTTCCCTAGATGGCTCTCTTTCCCATCAATCTGAAGACTCTTTGGGAATTTTCCTATGTCATATTGATTAGCTAGAAAAAAAGGTTGACTGATTGACAAATTGATAGTGTCTGCCTGATTACAATCATATTATAAACATCACAATAGAATATGGCAGGTGAGAGAGTAGGCATATATACATGGTGCTGTGGAAGAAGGATTTCCAAGAGAAGGGGACTGTTTGCACTGTGTCTTACAGAATGTGTTTTGTGAATGACAGGTAGATGGCTTTTTAAAGGTTCGTTTCAGTGATTTCACAACACAGCAGTTTTCAGTTGTGGCAAATTGAATTTTCCAAAGATAGCTTCTCTGATATAGATCTCTCCCACAAGCCCTTCTTACAGTGTGACATTGATACGTCTCCATCAAGAGGTAGGGAGTCTATGTTCTTGTCTTTTTTTCTTTTTCTTGTGGTGCTGGGGATTGAACGCAGGCCCTCACATCTACTAGGCAAGTACTCCACTACTGAGCTATACCCCCAGCCCTGTTTTTGCCTTTTAACTATGGGAAAACCTTTGCAATTCCTTTGGCAGAAGTGATGTTGCGTGGTTTCTATGACTAAGTCAGAAGAGGCCATGCAATTTCAACCCAGCTTTTTTTTCTTGAGTCACTGGGGAGCAAGTCTGGCTACTCTAGAGCTGCTTTGCTGGAGAGCCCCTGTGGAGAAGTGAGAGAGAGAGAGAGACAGACAGAGAATCTATAGCCCAGACGCCCAGCAATTCCATTCTCCAGATGTTTGAGTTGACTGAGCCTTCAGATGATTCTACCTTTCAGACTTGAAAATATTCCAGCTAACATGGAGGGGTGCAGAGACAAGCTATCTCTGCCAAACTCTGCCCAGATTGCAAATTTGCAAGCAAAATAAATGTAGTTCCAAGGTCCTATATTTTTGAGTGGTTTGTTACAGAGCATTAGATGACTAGAACACTGGTCTTTGATCATAATTCCATTCTTCCATAAATATCATTAACACAAACATTTTCAATTCTTTTATTAACATTCCTTAAGTGTTACAAATTTGAATTTAAGCACAGGTAACTTCTCTATACAAGTGCCAATTTCTCAGACTTCACTTCTCTGGAATCGGCTGCATTCTCCAATCTCCCACTGATTCTCGGGAGTCCATCTTCTGCTTCTTTATTTAACAGAAGTATGACTTAAACAAATCACTCCTCTGGGCTTCTGTTGCATGGTCTATCAAGTGAGAAAATATGTGTATGCCTGAAGGCAGAGGAAGACCAAAACATTGGGAGGACCCCTTTCACATCTAAGATCCTTGACTTCAGCTTAAATTCACCAGATAAAATAAGTTTGCAGAGAAGTCTGGCTACTCTATCTATTATGTAAATAAGCCTTTAAAGAAATGGAAAGAAAGAAAGAGAACATAGACAGCTACAGGGAAACTGCATAGACTTTGGTGAAACTCTTGGTCAAGTGGCACTATGAAGTTTAAGAGGGTGTGGGAAAAGACATATCTTTATGTTACATTATATATTAGGAGAAAAACCAGGAATATCTGGTTGATGGGTACTCAGTGTCAATTTTTTAGACATAAGCGCATAACCATAAAATAGATCTCCATAACGTACCTCAACATTGTAAAAGCTATAGATGCTAAACTGAAGGCCAACATCATTCTAAATGGAGAAAATTTAAAGCTTTTACTCTAAGAACTGGAACAAAGATTCCCTCTTTCACCACTTCTATTCAACATTATCCTTGAAATTCTAGCCAGAGCACTTGGACAGAAGAAAGAAATTAAAGGGATATTAATTGGAAAAGAAGAACTCAAACTATCAATATTTGCCTACAACATGATTGATTCTATATTTAGAAGAGCCCAAAATTCCACCAGAAAACTTTGAGAACTAATAAATTAATTCAGTAAAGTAGCAGAATAGAAAATTAACACCCATAAATCAAATGCATTCCTATATATCAGTGATGAATCCACTGAATGAGAAATTAGGAAAACTACCCCATTCACAATAGCCTCAAAAAAATTAAATAAACTACTTGGGAATCAATCTAAGAAAAGAGGTGAACGATCCCTACAATGAAAACTATAGAACACTAAAGAAAAAAATTGAAGAAGACTTTAGAAGATGGAAAGATCTCCCATGCTCTTGGATAGGCAGAATTAATATTGTCAAATGGCTATACTAACAAAAGCATTATACAGATTTAATTCCTATTAAAATCCCAATGACATTCTTCATAGAACTAGAAAAAGCAATCACGAAATTCATTTGTAAGAATAAGAGACCTAGAATAACCAAAGCAATCCTTAGCAAGAAGAATGAAACAGGAAGCATCACAATACCAGAACTTAAATTATACTACAGAGTTTTAATAACAAAAACAGCATGGTAGTGGCATCAAAACAGACATGTAGACCAGTGGTACAGAATAGAGGACACAGAGACAAACCCACATAAATACAGTTATCTCATACTAGACAAAAGCACCAAAAACATACATTGGAGAAAAGATAGTCTCTTCAACAAATGGTGCTAAGAAAACTGGAAATTCACATGTAGCAAAATGAAATTAAACCCCTCTCACCCTGCACAAAAATCAACTCAAAGTGGATCAAAGACTTAGGTAGTAGAACTTAGGTACTAGAACAGAGAACTAATAAGAGAAAAAGTAGGCCCAAATCTCCACTTTCTCATCTTAGAAACTGACTTCCTTAACAAGACTTCTAAAGTCCAAGAAATAAAGTCAAGAATCAATAAATGGGATGGATTTAAACTAAAAAGCTTCTTCATAGAAAAAGAAACAATCAATAATGTGAAGAGAGAGCCTATAGAATGGGAGAAAATCTTTGCCACCTGTACCTCAGATAAAGCATTAATCTTTAGAATATATAAAGAACTCAAAAAACTTAACATAAAAAACCAAATAACTCAATAAATAAATGGGCTAAAGATCTGAACAGACACTTCACAGAAGAAAGAATACAATCTATCAACAAATATATGAAAAGATGTTCAACATCTCTAGCCATTACAGAAATGCAAATGAAAATACACTGAGATTCCATCCCATTCCAGTCAGAATGGCAATTATCAAGGATACAAGCAACTATAAATATTGGTGAGGATGTGGGTAAAAGGTACACTCATACATTGCTACGGGACTGCAAATTGGTGTAACCACTATGGAAAGCAGTATGGAGATTCCTCAGAAAAATTGGAATGGAACCATTTGACACAGTTACCCCACTCCTCAGTTATACCCAAAGGACTTAAAATCAGCATATTGCAGTGATGCAACCATATCAATGTTTATAGCAGCTGAATTCACAATATCTAAACTATGGAACAAACCTAGGTACCCTTTGACAGATGCATGGATAAGGAAAATGTGGTATACATACACAATGGAATATTACTCAGCCTTAAAGAAGAATTAAATTACAGTATTTGCTGGTTAGTGGATGGAACTGGAGAATATCATGCTAAGTGAAACAAGCCAATCCCAAAGAAGCAAAGGCCAAATGTTTTCTCTGATATGTAGATACTAATTTGCAATGGGGGAGCACTATGGAAGAAGAGAGGTACTTTGGATTAGATGGAGGGGAGTGAAGGGAGAGGAGGTGGTATGGGGGTAGGAATGATAGTGGAATGAATCAGACATTATTAACCTATGTGCAAATATGATTACACAGCCAGTGTAATTCTACATTATGTATGAAGAAGAGAGAACCAGAAGAATGAGAAGATATACTGCAGGTATGTATCGTGTGTCAAAATGCATTCTACTGTCATGTATAACTAATTAGAATAAATTTTTAAAAAGAATAAAAAAATGTATTGCCATTTATTAAAATGAACATGTATAAGAGAGAATGACATAGGTTATGAAAGCAGGAGGAGGAGGTCTGATGGCGATAAATGTAGCTGCAGGGCAGAATTTGTAGGCAAGCTCTGATGATTCAAAGAGGAAGATGAACACCCTAAGATGAAATCAGGTGAGTATAATATGAAGTTACAAACGTGGCAGAAGAAGGAAAAAGCCTCTGTCTAAAGTTGATGTGGAAAAGGAGGATCTTATAAAGTTGAAGAAAGTAACAGGTCAATACAATTTCCAGATCCTTCTCAATGAAGACAGTAACAGAGTTAAGAGGGGGAAAAAGAAAGAGCGAGAGAAAGAGGGGTATAAACACAGATGCTAGGCAAGAACTTTTAAGGGACAAGTTCCTATGCTTGGGAGGGGGGCATGTTGCTACCCTAAAAAAGGGACTGCTAACATTCCTTTATTTTATTTTATTCTTTCAGGTACTAGCGATTGAACCCAGGGGCATTCTACCACTGAACTATAAATCCTACCACTGAACTATAAATCCTACCCCCAACTCTTATATATATATATATATTTTTAGTTTTTGAGACAAGGTCTCTTAAATTGTGCAGGCTGGTCTGGGAACTTGCAATTTCTCTACCTTAGCCTCCCGAGTAGCTGGGGTTATATGTGTGCTCAAATTTTTGTTTCAGGGAAGTCCCTCCAGAGAAAAACACATGACCAGTCCAAAAAAAAAAAAAATCCTCTGAGTGATTCTGAGTCATTCTTCTAGGTGACTAGAGTAAAAAATTGCTAATTATAATCTCATTATAACTCATGGAACATGCATTAGTTTCCCTGATAAAATTCCATTGCCCATGTATTTGGGGAGATACTTCTTTGGTGATTATCCCTAGTATCCTCCTTACTTGTATAAGTAATAAACTCCTCTTCACTCTTATTACTGGTTGTTCTTGTTGGCTTTATATTCACCAAGGGGCAAAACATTGTGTTCAGTTACTTGGTATATTTATTTCGAAAGCAAAGAATTGCGATTTGGGTATACTGAATCAGGACATTTTTGAAAAGCGTCCTGTAAGGGACGTGCAGAAGTTTTTAATAAGGGTTTTCCACAAAAATCTGGTTTTGGAGGCAGTTCATTTACTGGGCAGAAATTCTAAATTGAAAACCTCTTGTGATGGGTTATTTAACTAGATTCAATTGTTTATCCAAGCCTATTGGAACAGTCTGTGGCTTAACCTTTAGCAGGTATGCATGCAATCCTTTCAGTCACCTGATTCCACTCTAGAAATTCTTAGACTTAATTACTTCATCTTCTTTCACAATGTCCATTATTGACATAGCAAATAGAACAGCCAAGATATTTATGGGTAGCTATGGAAATATTAATTAATAGGAATGAAACTAACTTTTAAATCAAGTTTATAAGGCAATATGTATATCTTGTACAATAATGTGAGGTTTTCTAGAGAAAGATGAGTTTCAAATACAAGGTCAGACCTTTGTTATTGTTTTCCCATCTTCACTGGCATTATCTAGTGGGTTAACAGCTGTTTCTTATTGTTGCATTCCATCACATTGTTGGTCTCACTACTGGAGCACTAACTTTTGGGAGTGTGTTAGTTGAAGTTTAATCTGCCAGTTTTTCTGAATGAATGAAGATTTGAACTAAAGATAGGAATGTAAGAGGGCAGAACACGTATTTAAGGATGACCCAAAAGTCCTCTTAGAATATTTCCTTTTAGCCTTATAAGGAAACGTTTGTTTGGTAAATTTTTAAGTATTTTTCTGGTCAATGAGAAAACCCAATACCCATTTGTGTGGCCAAGATGCTGGAAAACTCAGGATGCCAAGGTCAAGTTTGGATCTCCCTTATAAATATGAAAGAATTTCTTTCTTCTTAAAATTTAGCCTCTCAGCAACAAAAACTGTCCTGCCATTTGCTTGTTGTAAGAATATACAATGACTATGAATTTTCCTTTTTTGAAAACTTTAAGCTGAGCAGGGTGGTGCAAACCTGTGGTCTCAGTTACTTGGGAGGCTGAGCCGGAGGATCAGGGGCTCATGAGTTGGAGCCAGCTTGATCAACATGAGAACCATCTCAAAAAAAAAAAAAAAAAAAAGGTCTATCTTTTGAAACACTGTGGCCAACATAGCATTTAACAGACTGAGTAAAATGATTTTCCTAATGATTTTCTGGATAAGACTCAAGCAAAGAGATTATTATAATGCACCAATAAATAAAAAGTGAATATGAAAAAAAAAGTTAAGCAAAAAGAAAAATGAACTTTCTATAAAGAATTTATTTCATGGGCATCTTTGATAAAAAGCTTATATTATTAAGTTCTAGGCAGGTCTTCATGTTTATTAGTCAATATAACTTACTCCAGAGAATTGTCCATAGGTCCAAATAAAAACAGGGCAAGCTCAGAATTTCTAAATGCTTGATGCTTAATGCATACACTGTCCTCACTGTGTGTGTGTGTTGAATTGCATCATATTGTTGGTCTATATACACACATTCATAAGAAAAGGTTTGAATATAGACAAAGGAAATGCTTATTAATGTTTGGATCTAGAATGTCCTTCAGAAGCTCATATGTTGAAGGTTTTGTCCTCAATGCAGCAATATTCTGAGGTGGGGCTCTTGGTAAATGATTGAATCATTAGGGTTCTAATTCAACAGATTAATCCACTGATGGATTCTTAGCTAAATATACTATCAGGAGGTGCTGGAAACTGCAGGAGATGGAATTTAGTTAAAGGGAGTGGATCCTCAGGAGCATGACCTTGGGATTATATCACGTCTGTAGCTGCTCCCTGGCCTCGCCTTCTACTGAGGCCATAAATTGAGCATCTCTGCTCCATCACCTTCTCTCTGCTATATTCTATCTCACCAAAGCCTCAAATGGATGGAGGCAAGTGAACGTTGGCTGAAACCTCTGAAACCATGAGCCAAAAATAAACCTTTCTTCCTTTTAGTTGATTTTATCAGGTATTTTGTCACAGTCATGAAAACCTAACACAATGCTAAAGAGTAGCCTTGCTCAAGAATTTCCCTCTGTAAAAATTCCATTATTTTTAATTACATCTTTCCTTTTTTCATGTGAATGTATCATAGATATGGGCACCATTGTGAGAACTTTGCCTAAGTATAGAAATGAGCCATTTCACTTTAGATTAAAGGTGGCTGAAAGAAATTTTTTCCTGTGGGTCAATACTTAGAACACAATTCAGATTCATCTGTGTATAGGTAATGGTTTTCTTGACAAAATACAGTAAGATTGATTTAAAAATGTTTGTTAAGTCCCAAACTTCCTAATTAGAGTTACAGAGATGAATTTGTATTATAATTGTTATGATTATTTAATTTTTACATGTTATACCTTATACATCTCTTGAGGTGACAATACTTGAAATCACAAGTAATAAGAGGCAGGGGTTAATGGAAGAAAATTGTGAAATTTTAAATTTATAATGTCTTGAAAACCAGTAGCACCATTCCTAAGTTTCTTCATTAAAACATGTTGTGGTGCACACCTGTAATCCCAGCAACTTGGAGGCTGAGGCAGGAGGATTGCAAGTTCAAAATCAGCTTTAGCAACTTAGCCCTAAGCAATGTAATGAGACCTTGTCTTAAATAAAAAATATAAAACTCTGGAATTGTAACTCAATGGTTAAGCACCCCTGGGTTCAATCCCCAATGGGGGAAAAAAAGCACTTTGTACAGGTGAGGGCTGTAGCTCAGTAGTAATGTACACACTGAGCATGAGTAAGGGTCTTGGTTCAATCTCAGGCATCAACAAACAAACAAAATCACTTTGTACAGGTTTCTCACTGGTGAAATTAAATGTTTTAATTAGCATTCATCCCTTATTTATTAAAAGCTAAGAGACATGATGATTATGTTTCATTATCTGGGTATTTGCTATTAAATTAGCTCAGAGCAGAAAAGGCTATATATAATATTACCAGAAGAATATCCCAAAGTGATAAAAACTATTAGATTTTTTTTTCAGTTATTTTTACTTTAGTCATGAAAATACTTTTAACTGTAAATACTGAAATTGGTCATGAAGTTGTGTTGTTAGTATTTTTTTGAAATAAGAACAGCTGTCATTCAAGGAGTTGTTAATTCAGAATCTTTAAGATTTGGATGTGACCCATGGAGCTCTGTGAAGGCTGAAATTACTCTGGACTTTTCTCTGTGGAGAAGTGAGATCCTAAGTTTCTCAGCCACCCTCTTTTTGTCTTCGACATGTTTACTTTAAGTGAGAAATTTCAGCCTGAATTCAGCTTGAATTTGACCTTTACCCTCAGTAATATGCAAGTTCATTTGTTTTAGAGGTCTACTCACACACTTGTTAGCAGGAAAAAGCATTTTTTTTTTTTTTTTGGTATGTTAGAACTAGCTGAGCTCAGAGGATAGTGCCTGTTGACTGAGACTTAGACTAACTGGCCTTAGCCTCAGAGGAGACTAAGCTGGAGGTGTGAGTGACATCCCAGGGAGTGGTGGCTATTGTGTCCAAGTGATCAAAGCACGTCAAGATACTGCAGATGTTAACTGGTGTGCATGGATATTTACATTGACAAATACAATTGTTGTTTCTGTTATAAAGTATGGAAAATAAAAAGCCAGGTATTATAAGTTTGGGGGTTAGGGGGCATAGCTTAGTGGTAGAGTGCTTATATGTACAGGGCTCTGGGTTCAGTCCCCAGCACTGCAAAAAAAGACATTATAAATTCCATATAAGTTCTTTGGCGACTCTATTTCTTACCCCATTCCTCTTTCTAGAGGTAACTTCTCTCCTAAACTTGGTATTTATTGTTGTCAGGCATATTTTTATATTTTAACACAAAGGTATGTGTCTCCAAAAAGTAATATAATAATGAGAGTGGTGTGTATGTATATACTCACTACATCAATTAGCATAACTCATGGCATATATAATCATAAAACAACTTATTTATTTATTTGGGTTGGGGGCCAAATCCAGGGCCTCAAGCATATTAGGCAACTGCTCTATACTGAGCTATAACCCTAGCCCCCTTATTTTTGTCCTTTTGCATTTATTTTTTGAGGATAGTTCTTCTCCTGCTTCTGGATAAAAACTGATTACTCTTGTCATTCCTTGGTTCAAAAGAAAAGTTCATAATCTAAGTACCAGAGCATGGTATAAACTGATTCAGTAATTAAAATGTCCAACTTTATGTTATCATCCAAACCTCTCCTGGGAAATGGTGCCATTTGGGGCCTTGGCACTGGCCTCCATTGGCAGATTGGACACTCAGCAGTGGCAGTAGCCAGATCAGCCACAATGATGAAATCCATGTTGCTGAGTCAGACATAACCATCCATTCTTGCGGCCATGATCATTCTACGTGGTTCCACCAAGCCAGCATCAGGGAGTCTAGGAAGAAGTCAACTCACATCCAAAGGACTTTCCATTTCCTCAGTGAGAGCGTCTCTGCAGTGGGCATTTGCATGGTATATGAGTTTCTTCACACTCTGTGCCCATTCCTAGAAGTCCACATACATAGGGTTCTTCTCCTTCTCTTCCTCCTCTTTACCAGCCTCCATTTTTCTTTTTCTAGGTCCCTAAGCAACTGTCCAACTAGTAGCAACTTTCATGCATCAGTTTCCATGTTCAGGTTTCTTGCTGAGGCCTCACTGAGGCTAATCCCTATTGAAGCTATAGGAGAAGGTAGTCAGGTTGATACAGTCTACAGGATTAGTCTTTTAGAATAAAAGAACAGAGGAGAAAGGACCTAGAAACAGAAGATGATCATACTACCACACAAGCTTGGTCTGCATTGAGGTCTCTATTTTGTTCCATTTTCTTTGAGTTTATCCTTATACCAATGCTATGCCATCTCAATCACTACTTCATAACATGTCTTGCTAGTTGTAGGGAATGTCTCACCATTTCTAGACTCATA